TAACACTTATATTATTTTGTCTTTCAAATTTATCTATATCAGATATTTTAACAGGATACTTTATGTTTGTCATATTTAACTGATTTTCATAGGGTGCATATTTCGATACCCTTTCAGCATTTTTAGCATTCCTTGGATGTAAAGCTGCTAAAATTGACCAAAGGAAGCATTTATTATCAGCATTCTTTATATTTAAAACTGCTTTTGTCAATTTAATACTTTTTGGTGTGGGGATATATGACTTTGGAGTTAGGGGCTTATACTTGTAAACGTGCAACTGCCAATATTTAGTATAGTCATATATCCATCCACTACCTTCGGCTTGGTATTTGTGCATGGAAGTGTCAATCTTTAAAAGAGCATTTTCAATTTGATGCTTTAAGTCTCTCTTCTCAATGGTTAGGATAGTAAGGCTTCTAAAATCTGCAATACATTCTTTCTCATTAACTAATTTTCCGTTTTGATCCATTGAATATTTTATAAATTTGATTCTCCTTACTAAAGTCCATTTTATCGGTAGAGGACAAGACTGAAGAGTACTTTTAAGTTCAGTTTTAATCGATTCACCGACAAATTTAATCATTGTATATGGACATTTGTTACAAGAATTTACGTGTCTTTTAAAATGACCAACAACATTTCTTTTACAGAAATTACAAGTCTTATGAGTTTGTAATATATGAGATTTTAGAGCTATGTTACTATCACAGATTAAATCACAAACTTTGCACAGTTTCACCTTCATTTTATGTATTACCTTGTAGTGGCGAATAAGGTTGCTTTTTTTGGAGAGCGATGCAAAACAATGTTGACATGTGGTCTTCATTTTTATATATGAAATTAAAAAATAGGTTGGCATCTTCTATATAGTAGAAATTACATTTTTACAATTTAAATTAATGAGAAGTAATAATTCTAAATTTTAATATTCAAAACAATTTTATACAATAATATTTGGCAATTAAAATTTTCTAAATCAAAACTAAATTCTAAATCTTAAATAAAAACTCTTTTTAGCAGAATGCTGAGTCTACATTTATACAGAGTTAGTGTTAGTTATATAGAGAAGACTACCTATGAAAAAATTATATAGTGATTGAGATTCGGCGAAGTTTTAAAAAAATAACTTGTACACTTTTGACTCAAAGTCCCCAGTGATTGAGATTCGGCTAAGTTTTAAAAAAATAACTTGTACACTTTTGACTCAAAGTCCCCAGTGATTGAGATTCGGCTAAGTTTAAAAAAATAACTTGTACACTTTTGACTCAAAGTCCCCAGGTGAGTCAAATTCGGCTAAGTTTTAAAAAAATAACTTGTACACTTTTGACTCAAAGTCCCCAGTGATTGAGATTCGGCTAAGTTTTAAAAAAATAACTTGTACACTTTTGACCCAAAGTCCCCAGTGATTGAGATTCGGCTAAGTTTAAAAAAAATAACTTGTACACTTTTGACTCAAAGTCCCCAGGTGAGTCAAATTCAGCTAAGTTTAAAAAAAATAATTTGTACACTTTTGACTCAAAGTCCCCAGTGATTGAGATTCGGCTAAGTTTAAAAAAAATAACTTGTACACTTTTGACTCAAAGTCCCCAGTGATTGAGATTCGGCTAAGTTTTAAAAAAATAACTTGTACACTTTTGACTCACTTGAAAATAGTAATAACAAAATAAGGTTACATTTTAGATAGGGAAGCAGCATACAATTGACATGTAACTAAAAAACTAGGTTGACATCTTCTATATATAGTAGAAATTACATTTAAAAAATTTCATTTAATAAAAATAATAATTTTGAATATTAATTTTATATTTTTAATATTCAAAATTATTTCACACAATTAGATTTGGCAATTATAATTTTCTAAATCAAAACTAAATTCAACTAAAAGAACTAAAAGAAACTAAACTTCAAACTAAAAGAAATACAGAGTACAAGTATGAGTACAAGCATCAATTGGTCACAACCAATTGATCCCATGACCCGACACGCGACAATATATTAGGCCTACACTAGTCTAGCTTACATGTTAAAACAAGAAGATTCAGGTGATGAGCAAGGTGGTCCAGGCGGGCAAGGTAGTCCAGGCGGGTGAGGTGGTCCAGGCGGGCGAGGTAGTCTAGGCGGGTGAGGTGGTCCAGGCGGGTGAGGTGGTCCAGGCGGGTGAGGTGGTCCAGGTGGGCAAGGTAGTCCAGGCGGGCGAGGTAGTCCAGGCGGACGAGGTGGTCCAGGCGGGCGAGGTGGTCCAGGCGAGCGAGGTGGTCCAGGCGAGCGAGGTGGTCCAGGCGAGCGAGGTGGTCCAGGCGAGCGAGGTGGTCCAGGCGGGCGAGGTAGTCCAGGCGGGCGAGGTAGTCCAGGCGGGTGAGGTGGTCCAGGCGGGCGAGGTGGTCCAGGCGAGCGAGGTGGTCCAGGCGGGCGAGGTGGTCCAGGCGGGTGAGGTGGTCCAGGCGAGTGAGGTGGTCCAGGCGGGCAAGGTAGTCCAGACGGGCGAGGTAGTCCAGGCGGGTGAGGTGGTCCAGGTGGGCGAGGTGGTCCAGGCGGGTGAGGTGGTCCAGGCGGGCAAGGTAGTCCAGGCGGGCGAGGTGGTCCAGGCGGGTGAGGTGGTCCAGGCGGGCGAGGTGGTCCAGGCGGGTGAGGTGGTCCAGGCGGGCGAGGTAGTCCAGGCGGGCGAGGTAGTCCAGGCGGGTGAGGTGGTCCAGGCGGGCAAGGTAGTCCAGGTGGGCGAGGTGGTCCAAGTGAGTGAGGATACGATAGAATCTCCCCCTTTTATACCCAAAAATTGTCAAAAAAACCTGCCCCAGACAGACTGGCACCAGACAGGCAGAGAAAATTAACAATTAGTTTTGATTGGGGTCATTGGGTTACACTCAGTCATTCATTAGAGTCAGGAGCGGGAGCATGGGGCAGGAGCCCGACCATAGCATGGAGCACGCCATGGGTCAAGAGCATGCCAAGAGCATGCCCGCGAGCGGGAGCACGCCATGGGTCGAGAGCATGCCTAGAGCACACCCGCGACCAGGAGCGCGCCCGAGTTCGCGTGCCGAGAGCCGGGTGGCCAAAAAAATGAGCCATATTCCAGACGTGTTTTTCAGTATTAAAAAAGTAGAAAATTTATATAGGGGTGTATAGGTCGAGAGCTGGGTCTTTAAAAAAGTGGCCAAAAAAAGCTCTTCCATTTTTTTCTCATTTTTCCCCTATAAAAAGTGCCCTAAAAGTGCCTCTAAAACGCCGAAAGTGAGGTCATATTCTCCTATTATATCTACTTCAGTGCCACCAACTACACGTTTTACAACAAAAATATCGTTGATTATCGCAACTGTTTACACACTATATAAAGTGCTCTAGTTTCTAATACTCAGTGCCACCAACCTACACATTTTACAACAAAAATATCGTCGATTATCGCTACTGTTTACACACGACATAAAGTGGTTTTATGTGCTATGTTCCAATACTCAGTGGTACCAACTTAAAGCACTACCACTTATCGTCTATAATTATTCCATACCCTAAAATAGTACTGTATATTTTATTAAATTTGTTATTAGACACACACATTGTCTTTTGTGCGCTCAGTGTTATTAGCTTCGAGCACTAATATTTGGTAACATATGTATAGTTTTTTTTTTCATCCGTTACACTCATACGATTGATTCATCTACCCTTGACACACTATAACAGTTAGGTTTGTCTGTCCCCTCTAAGACCATGACCAGTTAACTACTGTTAATAAATATGTTACGACTAAAATAGTGTTTTCTCCAATTTTTTTTACACTCATGATTATTTTTACGCTCAGTCTAAACAACCGAGGAAAACTATTTCCTCTAAGTGAATTCGTTTCGTATAGTGAATGTTCAGTTTTTATAAATTAGTCATTTCATGCTTTTTGTAAATGTTTTCCAATCAATGCTGCCAACCTACAGCTTTACATCAACAAATATCGCAAAAATTAATTGCCATATTTAAAGTTGTTCACCTTAAAAAAAAGGTTTGATTTAAATTACTTTCAAAACCATTAGTCGTTAGATTACCAGGTAATAATTCTATAAAAAATATTGATGTAAGATAGTACTAAAACCAGGTTTGGGACCATTTCTTAAAAAATATATATAAACGGTTGTGCAATTTAATAATTTATTACGTTTTAAATTCACTAGAATCAAAAAACGAAGCAGATCACAATGTGTCTTAGTCTGGTCAAAATAGACAAGGAAATTCCAACCCTAAGTGCTCTTTGAGCTCTGAACAGCTGTTCCATTGTTCCTGGGCTGTCGTCTGTAAACTGAACAATAACTGTGTTAAGTCCGGCAATATGAGGGCTACTCTACATTGTGTCATAGATAACAGTAGACCTCTGTGAATGATAGCTTATTCATTGTGGCTAACACCTTGTTGCATTTCATTTAAGTTTATCTTTGACCAAAACTTTTCTTAATTTACGTTTCGTGAGTGGTAACTATAATTAGAAATCTTAAAGTTATGCATGTTGTAGATTAGTGAATACTAGGGACCGTGCTCTATAAGGGAGTTTGTTCATTAGAAAAAATTCTAAAAAATAGTGGTAGTATATGTATTTAGAGTCTACATGAAAAATGAAGTAAAATTGTAAGTGTTGCTCCAAATATTACGCAATATTAATTTTCTAAACATTAACAATTAGATTTACATGTTTTGAACTAGGTATAAAGGCAAAAGACATTCTCAAGAATTAATAATAACAAGAAAGAATTAATTTTGATCGGCGTTCTAGTTTTTGCGTCAATGGCAGCACATATTGCCAAACGTCATAGAAAAACATAAAATTCAGCAAACACAATTTATATTGTGAACACTTTTATAGGCTAACATATAAAACGAAAACGTAACTTAACCCTTAATGACTCCACGAAGTGTACAAACAAAACTGTATTTAATTTTTGTATGGACGTTGCTTCTATCAAAATTGGTACTTTTAGTCTATAATTTGTGTAATTCTTGTAATTTATCATTGTTAATTTTTTCAGATACAGTAATTTGGAGCGTGCTGATTAACTTCCGGTATGTATAACAATTCAAACATATCAGAAACTAAATAATATTTCTAAAGATTTTCCGTAGGTGAAATATTATTCTGTTTCGTGTATGTTTTAAATAGAAAATTTCATTGCAGAAGTGATTTCAACCTGCTTTTTGAATATAATTAATTTAAGATGATTCATCGCCAAGAGGATGTGAGCTGGTCCAGGTAAAGTGCGGGGCATTGGTTCCAGAGGTCTCGGGTTCAATTCCCGCCAGTCACAAATATATTTTATCTAGGTAATGCAACAACCCTCTAGGTATATACTGAAGTAATGTTTAAAAATAATTCCAGGCAAAAAAAAACCTATCATAAATATGATTTTAGAGTACCAGTCAGTAAAAATAATACATAGTTAAGTTCCATTTGTGGTTGGTCTGATTGATGAAAATCAATGAACACACCGTTTTAAATACGAACCACGTACCCAGTTTTATGCGTGTATGTGAGCAACAACATTTTAAGACTTAGTTGTGACCTGCTTTTCGTTACGTGTACATTCGTCTTATACTGTTAATATTTACAAAGTTGTAAACATATAACAGGTGTTACAATAAAAATTAATAATTACCATCTACGGCAAGACTCGACAATATTATTTTTAATTTACCTTTTTCGCTTTAACGGAGTCAGAATGCCTCTATAACATTTTTTAACGAATATTTACTTTCTTAAAGGTTTTCAAAGTAAAAATGTGGATATCGAAAACTCAGTTGGAAAGACGAATTCTATTTTAAAATACATTTCATTGTGCTATCACATGAAAATAATATTAAATGACATAATGTTTAAATATACAAGTTAAGTCAGACAGGTATGATAATATTCTTTATTCACGTTTCAAACGTGTATCTTTGTAACAATATCCACGGCGCTAACGAATCTAATTATTCAACGATTCTATTTATGCTTATCTATTTTTGTCGTCAAATTGAAACAACGCCAACCCTGATGAAACACAATATCACAGCTGTTTTGACTTTGATTTTCTTCTTTGAATATTCAAGTCAAGTGTTCAATGTTTGCATTTACATTGATTCAAAGTACCTATGTTAGAATATTAGTTGCAACTGTGGGTCAATTATAAACTAAACATTTGGCAAGGACTGACAACAAACATACCGTGGGAGGTCTTGGCCACCAAACAAAAACGCAAAACGGATTATTTTAAGCCTTAAATAAAACGAGAATTGCTTAGATTTTTGGCTAAATTTGTAATATGAAACTGCTATTGGGAGCTCAACAAGATATATTAGAGAGAGATGAAGCATTCTATGTTAAATTCTAGAAATATTTAAATACGTAGAAAATTAAAGTAAACGCATGTTGATTACCTTAAAATTTTTCACAAATTTAGATATGGGAAAATAAAAAAAAATCCAAATTTGGTCTTACTATTTTATTTTTCTTCGGGAAAGAATATCTCCTGAGGTGTATATATTTTTGAGTATCCATAATTTTCTTAACCTTCTTTTTTGTACATTTTCAGTTAACGGTCTAACTAAACTAAATAGAATAAAAGTATAATGTATTAATAAAAAATTGTTTGATTAGAATAATTGTTTATGAAATAAAAACACGTACAGTAGCAAATTAGAAACCACGTCAACTTCTTTAATTATATACTATATTGGTGTACATTCATGCAATAGTGAATGGTAATATATTTCTTCTTTATAATCAACTTAATGTGAAGCCTCTCTTAGAATTCAATCAAAAGGAAAATATATTGGCCTAGTTTGCATTTATGAATATTATTAAAAGTTGAGGTAATACAATCAATGTATTGCATTTCTGAAACTAAACTATGTTTAAATTGCCGAAGACCCTTAATAAAGTCTCGATGTTGATGAAATCTAATTTTTAATTTCTTTAGACTCTGAATATCATAATATTTCGCTAATGGGATATTTAATAATGTGTGACAAGTGTAGAAAATAATGACCAAATATCTATTGAAAGTGAGCTATCTAAGAGATTATATTTTCCTATCATAAATTATCCAAAACTTTTAATATCTAGGTAAAATTATCCTAAAGCATAGTAAGGTCGTGAACCTCATTTCATTTTTCAATTTTTGGATTTGAACCTAGAATTTCAATCTAGAATCACCGTGCTATAATTGCTATGACCTACCTACTATGCTTTGCTATTACGGAATATATGACTTAAGTATCTCTCTGTAAAGTATAGAGAATACAATTTGAATAACAAATCTAAAATAATAATTAATAATGATAAACGAGAGACACATAAAACATCCATTCTTATCCGATTATTGCAACTGTAACTTGTAAATTGTTATTGAATATAATTTAAACTCAACAAAATATGTTGCAACAACACAAACTGACATATATACAAGCCAACATTGTCCAATATTAAGGATCGTCCTACACTTATCTCCATTGCAATTTCAGAATAAAGTATTAAAGTATTAAAGTTTTTATTGAATAAACCCAACTTATGTCTTGAGATTGAGATTATTGAATATGATCAAGGATAAGTACATGTTAATAACTATAGACAGAGACCATTATAACGCAGACTCCTACACTGGACTCTGATATCCATAGAGTATCAACATATCAATCAAAGGTCTTTGATACACTTCAGCTCTAAGGCATGACAGTAGTAATTGTTGCCGAGTGCAATGTTCCATAAACGACTATTTAATTATAAGATTAAAATGTACTTTAGTAGGTATCAAAGATTGTCAACTGTAGTTACTTCAAGATGGCTATGTTTAAGCTCATGACAGCTCGTACTTAGCAGCATTGAAAAATTAAACATATCATATCACACATGGATATGACATAAGCTTGAAACATGTCCTGGATGAAATAACTACATTTGGCACCTTCTGGTAACAACTTTAGTAGGATGGTCATCTTATAATTAAATTTCAAAAGTGTCAAGTCTCTTAAATTGAAAACTAGATTGTAATTAAGATGTCTTAAAGGTTATCATTAGAGTTTTTTCCAAAATATAAAGGTTTAAGTTAGTACTTAGTTTAGGTTTGCCATACTAAACTGTTGCAGTATATTCCAAAATTCGTAAGCAGCTCAGTATTGTGTTTTAACTGTTTTATATTTAGTTTAACTCAGAATTAATTATATCTTTGCCAAAAAATACCTCTTCTTAAATTTTACTTTATAGGAACTAATAATTGTTGTCGAATAAAGAATGCAACTGGTTTATGAGCAATACATTTAGGACTACATTTAAGAAATGTTTAAAAATAATTTTTAAAGTTTTTCAAAACGTTCTTCAACGACAATTATTTAGTATCTTGCACTCTAACAGAGCCTAAGAACTGCTTATTTATTAGTAATCTTTTACAAATAAAAATATTAATATACATTTTAAAGCCATCTCACCGAACTAAAGTTAATATCAATATCAACAAATTATACCATCAAATAGTTTATTGATAAAAAAAACATCCATTCTATCTATGATAGTAACGATTTTACTATAGAATATGATGAGTTCTTAAAACAAATATTAAAGATAGTTTAAATTCTTTGGTAAGATTTTTAATTGGATACGTTTAAGAATACCACTGTTGTAGGCCATTTTATAAAAACACCTAAATAGTTTGTAAGGAATTTAAATCTTTTTTTTTTATTTTCAGTTACAACAATGACTTTTTAGTCTACCTTTTGCATAAAAAATATTCGCAACGTTACTAAAATAATTTTGGATCAAAATCTAAAGTTTAAAACCAACAGTTAGTGACCAGAAATAGTTTGTTACACAATCACTTTGAACATTCAATACGAATAATTACTGAATATTCAATATATCGATACATCGATAGCAGGGCTAAAGGTATTTCATGCATGATACAGGGTAGATTTCATTGATATTACTCGCTTATTCCAATAATCCCTACTCGTGTTCTGTTTTCATCAGGAATTCCCCAAGTAATGCTCTTAGGTTTACCGTAATATTGCGATTATGATATATTGCTTTGCAATTTATGTTTCATATGATTATTATGGCTTACTTGTACTAGATTATTTCGTACTAATGTGATTCGATGTAGATTGTAACAGGTGTTTTCCCGTAAGTTGTTTTCGGCTGCACTTTACTTTAGGTCCTATACAAAAAAACCGAATGAAAATATCGACTATTCGATTGTTTCATTCGATATATCGTTTGGTTAGTTAGGTTAGGTTAACCTTACCTAACTAACCAAATGATATATCGAATAATCGATATATCGATCGATATTTTCGTTCGAATGAGTGTAGGCCCTAAAGTTAAGTGCAGCCTTGTTTTCTTATCAGAAGATTTCCTAGGGCTCTACTATTTTTAATTTTTCCAAGTACTTAAGTTTTTTTTTACATTATTTTATATTGAAACAAGTAAAAGCTTAAGTTACCTTTTATTTTGGTTTCCTTGTCAACTTCAAGTTCAACTAACACACTTATGTGCATTTCACCCAAAGGTGTGACATCTGCAGGGTTACAATAATATCTAAATATACTACGGTACTAATATGTTGGACTTAAAGGACACAAGACAACTAAAAAAATATAAAGTAACTTAATTAAAAGTTTTTGAAATTTTTTTTAGGTGTATACTCCATTTGATTGCAGAGGTATGTGCAGTTTTACCTAAAACATGTATTTCTGATAGTTCTCACTACTTGATGCACCTTATTTGAAATTATTAATGCACCATATTTATGTTTGTACGATAGTAAATTTTGATTTGATTTGAACAATATACTATTGAACACTTTTCAAAAGTATAAACAGTAAAATTATAAGTAACAAGGCTGGGGAAATATCTATTTATATCATAACTCCAGGTATAACACCAGTGGATACAAATGGGACCATTAGTACGCTATCTTAGTCCCTGAAAGGGTTCAGTCATCTGTGTCTATTCGATGGTCTCTATGGCACAATAGGTCCACAAACGTTGTTGATAGACTATAATACAACGTCCATTATAATACTGTCATCAT